GATGGCGCGCCTGGGTGGCTTAGTTGTTTATGCATCCAACTCTTCATTTTGGTTCAGGTCATGATCTCATAGTTCATGAGATTGAACCCAAATTGGGCTCCTCACTCTGAGCATGGAGTCTGCTTGGGATTCTTTCCACCCTTTCTCTCTGCCTCTCTCCTGCTCACTCTCTCTGTCTCACTCTCAAAATAAATAAATAAACTTAAAAAAAAAAAAGTAAGGAGAAGGGCGCCTGCGTCCCTCATTTTGTTGAGTGTCCAACTCTTGATTTCGACTTGGGTCATAATCCCATGGCTCATGGGGTGGATCCCCACATTGCGCTCTGTGCTGAGTGTGGAGGCTGCTGGGAATTCTCTCTCTCTGCCACTCCCTCGTGCAGGCTCTCTCTCTCTCTCTCAAAATAAATAAGTAAATTTTAATACATTTTTATGGGTGCCTGGCTGACTTAGTGCATTAGCCATCCCACTCTTGGTTTCAGCTCAGGTCATGATCTCACTATTCATGGGATCAAACCCTGCATCAAGTTCTGTGCTGGCAGTGCAGACCCTGCTTGGGATTCTCTGGCTCCCTCTGTCTCTGCCCCTCCCCCACTCACACTGTCTTTGTTGTTGTCCAAATAAATTAACTTAAAAAAATTTTTTTAAATATTTTTTAAGTAAGGAGAAAATTCCTTATCAGACATTAAAACTTATTACTAAGCTTTGCTAATTAGAGTAGTGTGGAACCAAAAAACCAAGAAACTTCAATTGAATGAAATAAAAGTAAAATATGTGTATGATTAGGGTGGGGGAAAAAAAAATATGTGTGTGATCTGGGCACCTGGCCGGTTCAGTCAGTGGACCAAGCAACTCTGGATCTCAGGGTCTTGAATTTGAGTCCCACATTGGGTGCAGAGTTTGCTTTTAAAAACAAAAGAAAATGTGTGTGTTATCTATCAAATAAATAATAAATCATTGTGTTTCTAGTCTGGGGTGGGAATAATAAAAGTAGACAATTATGTTTTATTCCTCGCAAATATAATAGCAAAAAGAGTGACTGCTCTAAGCTGTCTGGGCTTGGGGAAGCAGGGATTTGTATAAAGTGGTGGTAAATCTACACATTCATAGTGCGATCATGAACTGAACCAAAATCAACAGTCGGATGCTTAACCGTCTGAGCCACCCAGGTGCCCCAGAAATTATACATATCTTATTGCTTAGGTGCTTTGCTTCAGTTGTGTCTTTCTTTGCTGTCTTGATGGGGGCCAAGTACCCCGTTAGGGCTTGTTGTGTCTTTTTATACACTGGACACTCCAGAGTGTCTTCCCACTCTCCTTTTCTCTCCTGATCCCAGTCCCTTGCTGTGCCCACCACCTGGGCCTCCTATCTCATCCTTCCCTCTCATGCCCTCATCTCTTTCTCTCAAGTCCTCCAATGCCAGTCTCCCCTTAATGTATCCTGACTTGGTCAAGTATCTTTGAAATGTCTTATTAACATGCTGTTGGATGACAGCCCATTTGTGCTTTCCAAGGGGTTGGGGTCCACGTATAACTAGCACAAGGACCTGCCAACCAATATGGTGCTCTCTTGTCACCAGAGGCTAAGGCTGTACCAAATCCCCCAAACAGATAAGTGAGCAAGAGACCTACCTTGTCACTTTGTAGTCACACGTGTTCAGGGGCTCTGAGTCTGGGCTGTTCAGGCCTGCAGTGACTTAATTCCTGACCCTCGGCAGTGACTCCATGGACTCAATCCTCGGTATGTTCAAATGCACTCAGTGAAATGGCATTTCTCTGTTTTTAAGTTGTTAGCATGGAGCAGAGGAAAAGGAGGTGTCATATGACCAAAAATATAACCCTTGTGATACTTCCATGCACTACAGGAATAAAGACTGCGAGAGCCATTTCCAGTTGGGGGTAAGACAGTGCTCCCATTCCAGGTCACACTAGCCTACTTCTCTCACCTAAATGAGAGAGGTCATGGTCAATAGGGGCAGGGCTCCAAGGAAACACATTGCGAAATGCCGGGGAAGGCAGTTGGGGGAAAGAAAGGAAAGAAAGGAAAGAAAAGAAGGAAAGGAAGGAAAGAAAGGAAAGAAAGGAAAGAAAGAAAGAAAGGAAAGAAAAAAAAAAAAGAAACTATAGCACTAGAGATATGCTCCTGATCCAGTCCCACTAAAGACTGAGATTAAAAAAAAAAAAAAAGAAGACTCAGATTTCATTGCAAGATTAAGTATGCTCCTCTCTCCTCTCACCCACACACCACGTCAGTGTTGTTACAGTGTAACAACAGTGCATTATAGCTAAAAGAGATGTAAGATATGGACTGTCTCCAAAGAATACTTACCAATACTTACCAGAGCACAAAGTCTAGAGAAAAGACACAAACTAGGGCAGTAGAGGAATTTGAAGCCTCCAGCACCCACGGCTACAGCAAACATTACACAGCCCTCCTCGTATCCGTATTCCCATAAATCCTCACGCAGACCTCCTGTTACCTAGTTCCTCTTACCAAACATGTGTCTGGTGGTCAACAACAAATGACAAGGCATGTCAAATGACAAAACAAAAACAAAAACAAAAAAAACAAAGTCTGAAGACACACAAGGCAATCATCAAAATGACACTCAGATATGACACAGATGTTGGAATTCTCAGACAGGGTGTAAAATAGCAATGATTAAGATGGTAAGGGCTCTAGATGAAAAAGGTGACAAGCTGCAGGAATAGATGGATAATGTAAGCAAAGAGATGGAAACTCTTAAGAAAAGATCAAAAGATAAGGCTAGAAATAAAACACTATGATGAAAACAAAGAATGCCTTCAGTGAGCTCATCAGTAGGCTCAAACCAGACAATGAAATAATCAGTGCTCTGCACAATTCAGCCCAATGCAAGTGTTTACTACTGTTTTACTGATATGGAAACAGGGGCTCACAGATGTCCACCGAGTTGCTTAGAGTCCAAGCACCTGCCACAGACAACACCCCCATATTCCCCCATCCCCAATGCAATTTGTTCAGGATGGGATGGGAGCCAAGTATAAGTATTGGAGCTATTTTGTGTACAGAGGAAGATTTGTTGCTGTTTTTCATTTCTAATTCATTAAATTATGATTTATCAAACAACAAGCATTTCCCTAAATGTTAGGCAAAAGATCCCCCTAGTCTAAATAATTACACATTATAGGGATCATTTTATTTTTTCAAGATTTTATTTTTAATTAATCTCTACAACCAACATGGGCCTCAAATTCACAAACCAGAGATCTAGAGTTGCAAGCTCTACTGACTCAGCCAGCCAGGTCCTCCTATAGGGATAATTTTAAAATAAGAAATTAATTGTCTCCAAACATTCAAACACTGAATGAAAAATTAGCGCCTCTAGCTTTGGATAAAATTACGAATTTAATAGTTAAATTTTCCTAAATTCTTTCAAAGTGAGCAACATTTACACACAAATATTCCAAAACTGATGTGGTCTCTTGCATTGTGGTTATTTGGGCAGCACGTTTCTTTCTATCATGTGAATTGACATCAATTCTCACATGAATATTTAGACACAAGTATAAAATGAAAGCACAGAAGCAGGTTATGGCTGTTTTTAACTATCTGCCTTTGGTTTAGCTGCACCTTTACATTAGCTGCTGCCTTTCCATTGGAGGGAACAATCAGATATGAACTGTTACCTCACTTGTAGTATCATTCGACTCATTGCTAGATGTGTGTCCTACTAAAATCTATATGACCGTGCTGTCTTGCATTACGACGATTTCCAAATAGTGTTCATTCTAAGGACACTCATTGGTGAGATAGATGCATTTATAAGGACGGAAGAAGGGAGGAAGGAAGGCAGCAACAATGAACAAACTCGACACAGATTAATTCCATATTTCCTTCTAGCAGCTCTACGGCGGGTAACGTCATTGTACCATTTTATGTACGAAGATGAAGGACCCTGACCCCAAAACCAAAAACATACCCGCACCGTAGAGCAGCAAAGAGAAAAGCCCTCATTCTCCAGCACTCCTGGGTGTGCACTTAGACTGCCCCTCCTTTTGTTTTCACGTGTGGCAGTCGGTCAGGTGGGTCCCCAGGAAACAAGACCAAGGAATCAATATCCCGATGTGCCAGCAACACCTAAACGACCCAAAGACAAGCAAGTATGGGAAAGTACATTTTGCGCGGTCCAGTTTAGCAAGGAAAACACATGGTTCAGCCAAGTGCCAGAGAACAATTCAGACTCCAGAAAACTTTAGCTGGTGCTTGCACCGCTTGCTGGAGGTGCTGCAAACTGATGTTAACCCTTTACAAGTATGGAGACGTTAATCCCGCGCACAGGCGGCCAGGTGTATAGCTGGGCTCTGTGAAGAAGCATCACCCCTCCTAACACGCCCCTCCCATCAGGCTTTGTCCTTATTATTTTTTTTTAACGTTTTATTTATTTATTTAACTGTTTGTATTTATTTCTGAAAGATAGAGACGGCGTGAGTAGGGGAGGGTCAGAGAGAAGGAGTCGCAGAATCCGAAACGGGCCCCAGGCTCGGCGCGAGCTGAAAGCGCAGACCACGACCCGGGGCCCGAACCCACGAACCGTGAGGTCATGACCCCAGCCGAAGTCGGACGCTTAACCCGCTGAACCACTCAGGCGCCCCAGGCTTTGTCCTTAAAGCCCAGGGCAGGGGTCTCCTCTTGAGACCTCAGCGATTTCCGCTTCTGCGCGTCCAGCGTTTATCCTCCTCGGCCGCGTGGACGCCCGTCGAGATTCCAGGACCCGGGGCGCAAGACGCCCAATCGCGCGATCGCACACCTCACTCCCTGGGACCCACGGAAGCTGGCGAGCGCCTGCGAGACTCCATTTCCCAGCGCGCCGCGCGGGGATGCCGGGACGTTGCCGCGGATATGGGACAGGGCGCAGCCCTCAGGGTTGCAGAGCGGGTGAGAACTACGCTTCCCAGAAGGTCCCGCGCGTGCGTCCGCAAAGGAGCCCTGGGCCAATGAGGGCTTTCGGGGGCTGGACTTCCGGCGTCGGGGTCTGTCACTTTGCAGCCGGGCGTTGGGCCACACCGGTGTTGAGGAACTGGAGCGCAGCTAGTCCCCAGGCCGGTTTTCTAGGAGGTTTTGGAGACCCGAGGCGAGGGCTGGGAGGAAGAGGCGAGCGCAGGGCCGCTTCGCGCACGCCCTGATCGCGGGCGACGGTCGCGCAGCCGAGCCCCGGTTTCTCCGTGGGTAGCCTGGGCCGCTCCGCGGGGCTGTGGGGCGGCGCCCCGAGTCACGTGTTGTCCGACCCCAGGGTGGCGGGGGAGGCGGTGCCCCGAGCCACCCTGCCCTAGAGGGACCGGGAGACTGAGACCTGGAGCCGACAAGTCCGTGCTGTCCGTCTCTTTCTGCGAGTCCCCCGGTACAGGTTCCGATGGCGACCGCGGCTCTGAGAGACCCTTCCCAGGTGAGTAGAGGAACCGTAAGGCTCCCATCCGCCCGGATCCCTCCTCCAGGGACCCGATCCTCGACGCAGGGAGAGGCTTTGCCTGGACGTTTTGTCTCCCCTCTCGGTTCGTCCTAGGCCCCGGTGTTCAGGCTAGTGGAGCGTGCACGTGTGAGATCCCCACTTTTGGCAGCCAAGGGAGTGAGGTGTAGAAGGAAGTTCCAAGCCGAGGGTCCCGCACGTGCAAGAGCTGGGAGGGGAGACTGAGCCTAGGTGCTTCTGGAGCTGAGCTTTCTGACGTGAGCATGGGAGAGAAATGACAGGCTTGAGTTGCACCGAGGGCCGTGGGATGATTCTAACGGAGCCTGGGTATGCTTTAAGTTAGGGATTTTAAAGTAAACCACCGTTTGCTTGGAGAAAGGGTGCAGAGGGGGTGGCTGTGTGCAGGGAGCAGGCAGTGCCACACTCCGGGTGGCGGAAGATGGCACCTGCTGCACACGGAGCCAGTGGAGCTGGGAAACGGACTGGATTCTGGATCGATCTGATGTCTCAGGTGCGGCATGAGAGCGAGGGCCCTGAGTGGAGCACAGTCTCAAGGGTTTAAGCCTGAGCACCCAGAAGAACGGGGTTGCTGTGGACGGAAACAGGACTTTGGAGGGAAAGCAGGTTTCAGAGTAAAGTCAAGGAGGCTGTGATGTCCCAGAGTGGAGGTATCATGTAGACCTGGAATTGCAGGTGTCCAAGGACAGAGTCGTGGTGTTCTGAACCAGGGCAGGGCCTGGGAATCAGACGTAGGAGGAGGGAATCTCATGGACTCAGCCAGGGATGGGCAGTGCTCCAGGGAGATGAAGAGAGGCTGGCGGTCCCAGGGGCTCCCAGGGGAGCCCTGAGCCTTCAAGCGGCTGAAGGCAGGGTTTTGGTCAAGGCAGTAGGGGGCGAGGAGGGCATGGCTGTGGAGGGAGTGGGGAACTGGCTTCCTGTGTGGCAGCCAGATTCTCAGGGCCAGTCCTCTAGTGACTGGAGGGTATTAGCCAGTCCTTCAGGCTGGAGGGGCAGCCTTGGAATGTGAGGCAAGTTCAGCAGAGGGGGACACCCCTACAGGGATGGACGTGTCCTGGCGGGTCCACAGCTGTGACTTGCACAATTGCTCAATGCAAGAGCAGTTAAGGGCATGGCATGGCTGGGGAGGGTCAGCTTGTGCAAAGACTGGAGCATGAGTGGACACCGGGGCCTGCCTCTGGGGTGGCAGCCATCTGAAGCCATGGACTTGCTCTGGCTGCCTTGTATAGAGTGGCTAGTAGGGAATCTGAGAAGACCTGTGTGCCCTAGACAGGTGGGGGGAGGGAAGGGGAGTTTTATCTGCAGAGTTGCAGAGACCTGGGGGTGGGAGGAAGGTAAGCCTGTGAGGGACATCGGGCGGGGTAGCCATCGGGACAGGGAGGTGGGTCCTGGGTCCCACAGCCAGAGCTTAGACTGTGTCTGTCTTCCCCTGCCCACTGTTGTAGGGCCTGATGGCCTTTGAGGATGTGGCCGTGTACTTCTCGCAGGAGGAGTGGGCGCTCCTGGACGCAGCCCAGAGGGCCCTGTACTGCCACGTGATGCTAGAGAACTTCGCACTTGTGTCCTCGCTGGGTAAGGCCCTGGGTTTTCCATGGGAAGCTCAGTTGTTGCCAGCACTAACCGCTTATGTCACGTTGGCCTACGAGCAGCCTCACACCCGTTGGTTGAGTGTCCCTTTGCCACTGTGGCTCCTGTGTCCGGGCTCGGCCCCTTTCATCTGGGGCTGCCAGCATGGCTCTCCTCACAGGGACCGTTGAACTTTTCCTGTGAGCCCTGCCCTGTGGTGAGGCTTTCTTGGTTGCACAGATGACACCATCTGCGTCCCACAGAGAGCTCGCTCCTGCCATCTGTTGGGCAGTAGGCTGTCCTGTGCTGGGCCTGGCCCCTCACTTGCTTGTCTTCTCCCACAGGACTCTCGGCCTCACGACCCCGGGTAGTCATGCAGCTTGAGCGTGGCGAGGAGCCCTGGGTTGTCAGTGGGACAGTTGCGGCAGCAGCCAGGAATGCCCAGAGAAAGCCCAGCCCTGGTGAGTGGGGGCTCAGAGGGGTTGAGCTTGGGGCCAACCAATGGCCAGGCGTCTGTCCCCCTTTCCCTTCTTTCTTGGACTCTTTGATCTCCTGCCTCCCACCTGCCTCCCTCCTGTTCTCCTACCAGCAGCCTCTCCTGGTGGCCCTGGCCTTGGCTTGCCCATCGAGGGGGAGCTCCCAGGGTACCCGTTTCCAGGCTCTGGGGCACAGCCGCTATCCACCAGGACTCTCCTGCCCGTGCCCTCCTGGAGCTGACATGCCAGGGGAGAGGCAGTGGGGCAGTAGGGCTCGTGAGCAAACCCTATAGGCTTAGGTCGTCTCCCGCAGAAGCAGGCTTCAGGAGTCCCCTGAGACAGAGCTGAACTACGTATGCGAACGGTGTCTGGCCTCAGCTTTTTTCCCAGCTTGCCTACCTCATCCTTAGAGTCCCCCGTGCCTGCCCACCAAGCCTGCCCTTGGGTGACCCAAGTATGTATACCATTTCCATGCCTTCAGGCTCCTGTCACCTGGCACACAACAAGGTTGTTCCTGAAGAAGCAACAATGCCGGGGACCTTCCAGAATGGCTCCCCTCCAGCACCTACCTTCACTGGCACCTGTGACCGTGGGAAGAGGTCAGTGGGTTGGCCAGGCACCTCCCTCTCTCAGGAGAAAAAGTCCACTGGCGTGTCAGTAATCTATTGGGAAAGGCTCCTGCTAGGTCCTGGCAGTGGGGAGGCGAGTGTCAGTCTGCGGTTGACCTCTCCCCTGAGGACTCCTGAGGACAGCTCATCTAGGGAGAAAGCCCTCATGCATGGCCCCCTGCCAGGCAAGCAACAGAGGCCATGTGGGGGCCAGAAGCCATTTTCTCAGGATGCCCCTGGAAGAGCCTTCCCCAAAATTCCAGAATTTGAGGCTGGTCTCCCCTCTGGGGAAAGAGAAAAGGGTGTAACTAGCCACAGGCCTCATGGACTCCCTGCTAGCCAAGAGCCCCCAACCTGGGATCAGCTGGGCAAGGCCCTCCACACAAACTCTGGCTTCCTTTCCGGGGAGAAGCCCTTTGAATGCAGGGCATGTAACAAAGTGTTTGTGAAGAGCTCCGACCTGCTCAAGCACCTGCGCACCCACACTGGAGAGCGGCCATACGAGTGCCCGCAGTGTGGCAAGGCCTTCAGCCAGACATCGCACCTGACCCAGCACCAGCGCATCCACAGCGGTGAGACACCCTACGCATGCCTGGCCTGTGGCAAGGCCTTCAGGCACAGCTCCTCGCTGGTGCGACACCAGCGCATACACACCGCTGAGAAGTCCTTCCGCTGCAGCGAGTGCGGCAAGGCCTTCAGCCACGGCTCCAACCTCAGCCAGCACCGCAAGATCCACGCAGGCGGGCGGCCCTACGCATGTGCTCAGTGTGGCCGCCGTTTCTGCCGCAACTCACACCTGATCCAGCATGAGCGCACACACTCGGGTGAGAATCCTTACACCTGTGCCCTTTGTGGTGCCGCCTTCAGCCAGGGCTCCTCGCTCTTCAAGCACCAGCGCGTGCACACGGGCGAGAAGCCCTTCGCCTGCGCACAGTGTGGGCGCGCCTTCAGCCACAGCTCTAACCTCACGCAGCACCAGCTGCTGCACACTGGGGAGCGGCCCTTCCGCTGCGGGGACTGTGGCAAGGCTTTCGCCAAGGGCGCGGTGTTGCTCAGCCACCGACGCATCCACACGGGTGAGAAGCCCTTTGTGTGCACACATTGTGGCCGCGCCTTCCGCGAGCGCCCGGCCCTCTTCCACCACCAGAGGATCCACACGGGAGAGAAGCCTTTGCGGCGACCTCGGCGTGGGCCAGGCCTGTGCCCTCAGGCCAGGCCTTCTTCAGGGGCGTCATCAGAGGGCACCTTGGGCAGAGTCGCTGGGCCCCCTCCTGCCTCAGGTCCACTGGCCGTTGCGAAGCCTGCTGACGCCTGAGCTCACAGCTCCAATCTTCCCCAGCTTGTGGTTAATCGCCCTTGTTCCCTGCATATCCACAGTTTGGAGAAGCCCCGTGCGCGCCCTGTGCTTCCACGTGCACATGGTGAGGATGTTTGCCATTTCAGCACCAGCTCACTACAACCCCAAGAGATCTGACTACAGAAAGATCAGGGGGGTGGACGTGGAGGCTGGGACTTCGGTGGGCACAGACTGGGCAGTCAGAGTGGCGCTTCATGCCTCTTTGATTGTGGGCACTCGGGTGAGGAGGGGAATGCTGCAGTGTCGTGCAGGCAGTCCTAGAAATGTCTCACGCCCATGCACAGACAGGCCAACGGGCTGACCCTCAGGATATTCCCTCAAGACCTCAGTTTGTCGAAGGCTTCTGGGAGCCGACCCAGTAGATGGTAAGTCACGTGGGGTCTGGTGTTGGCCTTGGGCTCTGAGCCTCCACTTCCACCTCTGGGTAAAATAAAGGAAGAGAGAGGGAGAGAGATTCCGGCTACAGAGGGTATTTTCTGCACCTTGACAGGCAGGATCTTGATAAGGGCCGCATGTGCCAACCGCCAGCTCTGTGAGATGGCTGCTATGGCTCATATCCCCACTTCTCAGTTGAAGAAACCGAGGCAGAGAGTGGGAATGTGTGTTGCACACAGCAGAGCCCGGGACTTGACTGCAGGTCACAGGCCCAGCTCGTCCCTCTGCCCCCATGCTCTGCCACTCGTGTTCTAGTCTGCAGTGTGAAGGCTGGGTGATGCCAGGCCTGGCTTCCTGCGCATGGCAGTCCCACAGGACGTGGAGGAAGTAGAGGTGGACGTCCCCGGGTGGGAGGAGGGAGACCAACATCAAGAAAGGTGGCCCCTCTGTGCTCATTCAGATTTCACCCGGGCCTCAGCGTTGGCCAAGCCCTGTTGTTACCAAAGTCACCAACACAGGAGCCTTTATATCCCCGCTGCCCTGGTGAGAAGTGATCCTGATAACAGGTTGGAGGAGACCAGATGGGACTTCTTGTTTCTGCAGCGTCAGTGGGCAAGTGCCCACCTGTTCTAGTCCCTCAGTTGGAAAGAGGATTTGCTGTTACCTAAGGCCGTGTGTGT